TCACTTAGTTACACTATCAAATAAAATCATGCTGTATTCTAGTAAATCTGCTGATATTATTCATCCAGTTTACAAGGCAGATTATTTTGTGAAATAAAATCACCATCATAAACAAGAAATCTCTGTGCTGTATGTATTTATATCCCAAAATTTCCCTTTTAAGCTTTAACCACGAAGCCTTAAACCAACAAAACCAAAACCAGACTATCCAATGACCCCATTAAAAGAAACACTATTCCTACAGATGGAGACACTACCAGACTTTTAAAATTTAAAACAGCAGATGTCTATCAAAGTGTTTTCTTGGAATTACACCTAAAATAAATTCTCTTTAAGTATTAAAAATCTGCATCAGCAGTTACTGCACTGAATTAGTTTGCATTTGTTGAACAAACAAGTCAAACTACAATGTCTCAATAACACTCCTCATCTTTGCTGTCAACCAGATTTTTTTTCAGACTGCCTTTTACCAGTGCAGTTACTCACTGAATTCATACCCCCTACGCTATTTACTTTTTCACTGACTTAGGTATTCCTAACGTTACCAGATAAATTACTACATCTGCATCTTACTCAACAGTTGCTAACTTTACAACACCTGCCATATGCCAAATGGAAAACTGCAACCTTATTTCACTTGGTACCCAGAAGATAAAACTCAGCTCTATCACAGCTGTGTAGCTAGACTAGTTTCACGTGAAAGTTTCACATACAAAAATGCCACCAGCTTTACATACCACATGAGATTTTGGAAGTGCTAAATCTGGAGGAGCCTGTCTGCCATCTCAGCATACCTGTTAAGATTTATTTTATCCACTATTGCCTGCTTCAAGCATTAATATTACCACCAGAAGATTACTGACAGCCTCCTCTTAACTAAAGCACGCAGCCTAGCACAGAGCTCTGCTCTGAAGGCTGATGACAGCTGTCACGCGTTTCGGAAGATGTTGCAAAGTTAAAGCATAAATGCACAATCCAGACGTGTAAAGCTGACTCCCCCGATTCATCCAAACTAAACCCTCACCGCCAGGGACCGCGCGGGTCAGCCCAGCCGCACCGACACACCTCCGGGACCCCGACCCAGCGGCTCCCGCCCGAGGCACGGGGCAGCGC